GCGTACCAGCGCAACAATTTGGACTTGGCACTCCCCTGGTTAACTATAAGATATCGGAGTCTTCTTTTTCATGGAGCATTCACCACTCTCTTTATGACGGATGGTCTGAGCCCCTCATCTTCGACTCTTTGGTCAGAAGTTACCGGTCAGAGGCGATTGAAGATGCTGCTCCTTTCCAGGCCTTTATAAAGTATGTTCAAGACTCTAACGGAGCTGGGGCCAAGAAATTCTGGGAAAATCAGTTCCAGAACTTTAACGCGCAGAATTTCCCTATTCTTCCTTCCAAGACCTACAAGCCAAGATGCGACCAGCGTTTGGAGATCGACATCAAGGACATCGTTTCCGATGACGACTACACAGCAGCTACAAAGATCAGGCTTGCCTGGGCCATCTTGTTATCGACAGTTACTAACTCTGCAGATGCTTCGTTTGGTGCAACAGTATCCGGTAGACAAGCGAATGTACCCGGAATGGAGAATATCAGTGGCCCAACAATCGCCACCGTGCCGTTACGAGTGTCAATCGATCGCTCAAAGACCGTAGAAGAATTACTCCAACAAGTACAGTTGCAGGCTGCGGATATGATGCCGTTTGAACAAACCGGGCTTCAGCAAATACGACGCATCAGCGAAAACTGCGATCTCGCGTGTCAGTTCCAATCGCTCATGGTTATCCAGACCGGACGCAACCAGGATGCGGAAGATATTCTATTCGAATCTTCTTTTGTAGAACCCGAAGCTGAAGGCCTCGACCCTTTTAGAAACTATGCCATCCTCTTGGAGGTCCTTCTTAAGCCGGAAAGCATTTTCCTTCGCGCTGACTACGACTCCAACGTAGTATCTCCATCCCAATTCCGTCGTCTCGCTGACCGATTTGAGAACATCTTGAGGCAAATCTCCTTACCCGAAGTCCAGGACAAGCCAGTTTCTCTGCTCGATACAAGTAGCTTAGAGGACCTGAAGCAGATCTGGAGCTGGAACGACACTTTCCTAGAGAAAGCCGAGAAAACGATCCACGGCATCTTTGGAGAAGTCGCCGCGCGACAACCTAATGCCCCAGCTGTCTGCTCATGGGATGGTGATTTCACCTATGCTGAACTAGATGGCGTATCCACACGGATTGCCTACGAGATCCTGCGGGCTGGTCTTCCACAATCTGGCCAACGTATCGTACCCTTGTTCTTTGAAAAGTCGAAATGGACATCTGCCTCTCAACTTGCCGTCATGAAAGCCAATGGCACCTGCGTTACCCTTGACGCTTCCCTTCCCGTTGCCCGTCTACAGACTGTCATGGACCTTACTTCGCCCCAAGTCATCATAACTTCTACTGAGCAGGAATCTCGAGCGCGAGAAGTAGCTCCACCAACCGCACAGATCATAGTAGTGAGTGATACACACGTGCCCGCCTTTGAAGTTCCCGAGGATCCGTCTCTACCAAATGTAGACCCGGATACTTGGCTCTACGTGGTCTTCACCTCCGGTTCGACAGGTGTTCCCAAGGGTGCGATTGTCAGCCACTCCAACTTCGCCAGCGCTATTAAATATGGCCAAGAAGCGCTCAGATATAGTCCCGAAACTCGCACATATGACTTCTCATCTTATGCCTTCGACGCCTCTTGGCTTAATGTGCTATACACTCTTTGCGGAGGTGGATGTCTTTGCGTCCCATCTAACTACGAGATCCAAAATGAGCCCAAGGAAGCAGTTGCTCGCAGGGGTGCAAACTCGGCGCTCATGATCCCCTCGGTTTCCCGATTCATGCACGGAGTAGACTTCAAAGTTATCAACTTCGGTGGTGAGAAACTAGGACGTGACGAGATCGACTATTGGAAAGATCATGCTATCCTCCTTCACTCGTATGGTCCGTCCGAGTGCACGCCTATTGCGATCCATACCACACTCGATCCCGCACGTGAGCGTATCGTTATTGGTAAGGCCCTCGCGACACGAATTTGGATCGTTGAGCCGGAGCGTGGCAACTCATTGGCAGCTGTCGGTGATATTGGCGAGCTTTGGATCGAGGGACCTACTGTTGGCCAAGGCTACCTTAACGAGCCAGAGAAAACGAAAGCATCATTCGTAGAAGATCCACAATGGCTTGTACAAGGTTGCCCTGGATACCCCGGCCATCGTGGACGTCTGTATCGTACAGGTGATCTCGTTCGATACGAAGAAGACGGTAGTGTCGAGTATATTGGACGGAAGGATGCTCAGATCAAAATTCGTGGACAGCGTGTCGAGCTTGAAGAGATCGAGCATCATGTCCACGATGCTATCGGAAAGAATATTGCATCTCAAGTCATTGTGGATATCATCAGGCCTTCTGGCTCTACTGAAGCTGCATTAATTGCCTTCATCAAGCTCCCCCAGGGAGGAATTGCTTCTGGCACACCGGAGGCGTATGCATACGCGCAGGAGCTTGCTTCTTCTGCGAACCGTCTCCTATCCGCCACAGTACCAGGTTACATGATTCCGAATGGTTATATGATCGTGGACAACATTCCGAATACAGCATCAGGAAAGGTTGACCGTGGCAAACTGCGTGAAGCCGCTTTAGCCATGCGAAAGGAGGATCTCCTTCGCGTAGACAGCATTGGAAGACGTGCACCAGAAACCCCCAGTGAAGTCAAACTCCATGCTATTGTTGCTCGAGTGCTATCTTGGAGCGGGGAATCTTTTGGCATGGACAATAACTTCATCCAGCTTGGTGGTGATTCCATTAGCGCTATGAGACTAGCTTCAATCGCCCGCGACGAAGGAATTCCTCTGACGGTCGCAGATATCCTTACCAAAGATCGGATTGCTGACCTCCTCGTGACGGATTCGGAGGCCGACCTTTTCAACGAAAGCGAACAATCACTTTTCGGCTTGCTAGACGTGCCAGATCTTAGAGCTTTCATTGAGGAAGAAGTGATACCGCAAATTCTACCCGGTCGTGGAAAACTTATTGATGTTCTTCCAACAACAGACATGCAATCTGCGTACCTCAGCGACAACCTTGTTACACCCCGACGGTCTTGGTTCTACAGCTATATTGACTTTGACCAAATTGCAGATGAAGAGCGCCTTATCCAGAGCATTGAAAAACTGGTTGAACATTGCGACATCTATCGAACGGCCTTCGTTCGCTCTGGAGATGCCTTCTTCCAGGCCGTCTTCGACTCATGGAAGCCCACCATCAACGTTATCGACGAGGTGGATTCTGCCGAAATTGCTCTTAACAAGGTCATAGAAGAAGAGATCAACTCTCCCATCTCTCTAGGAACCCCATTGATAAAATTCACACTTATCAAAGAGCGAAGCGGAAAATCCAAGCTCGCCTTTGGCAGGTCACACGCGGTTTACGACGGTATCAGCATTGGCCAGACCTTGAAAGTTTTGGCCGCTATCTATAATGGCTCGACTCCGGAGATCAAACACTTCAGACAATATGTGAACCACACTCAATCAAACAAGGCGCGGAGCTACTCTTATTGGCGCAAGACTCTTGAAAACTCTTCAATTACTACACTACCTTACGGCTCAACGTCGCCCGCACAGGATGGACCACCTATTGTGCTTAAACGCTCTATTCCTACACCTAAAGCTCCCTCTGGAATTACACAAGCTTCTCTATTCACGCTGGCCTGTGCCACTGTACTCAGTCGTCTAACAGGGTCCCAAGACGTTGTCTTCGGCCGCGTTGTCTCCGGACGCGCATCCGTTCCTGCTTCCCTTCAGGATGTCGTTGGTCCTTGTCTAAACCGAATACCTGTTCGTGTACAGTTTACTCCAGATCAGACCAAATCCGAGCGACTTGCAACATTACAAAAGCAGTATGTTGAGAGCATTGCATACGAAACGACCGGTCTGTTGGACATTGTCAAGCACTGCACAGACTGGCCGCAAGACACAAAAGACTTCGGCTGCTGGTCGCAGTACCAGAACATTGACGAGAACCCTGAACTAGATCTGCCCGGCGCGAAGGGTGGATTAGGAAGTCCAGAGATGTACCATATTCCGTTTGCGGCCAATTTCTTGGAGGTCTTCGCGATCCCGAGCAGTGACGGCACGCTCACGGTGAGACTTATTGCAGGATCTGGATATGCGGAAAATGTAAGAAACGAGTTGATTCAAGGAGTTTGTTCGGAGTTGATGGATGTATTCTGAGGGTGAAATTTATGATATTACGACTGGTTGAAAGTCAGAATGGGCTGGATCCTCTCGAGTCTACGGACTTGTGGCCACCGCGTCAGCAGGGTGCAGTAGCACATGCATTGCGGCAGTTTCCAAATTGCTCTTAAATTTTCCATGTAAAGATATTGATACAGTTAGAAACTGCCCCAGGAGGCTATACTGGGACCTGTTACCGTTGACGCCGTTCTGGGCAAATACAGCCATACGCTCCAAAATAGGGGCTCAGGGGTTTCTTAGGTTCGTGGCCAACGAACTACGCTCTTTGGGGGAATCAGTACATAGACAAATCTCTACATGTATAGACATATAGAACATTCGAATTCGACTAGATACAGACTGCTTTTCTATCACCTTCTACGCGGTGAACTGTAGCTCCATGGCTGCCTCCGCCTTCAGTAGATGCGATGATATCCAGACTCTTCACCCGTGATATATCACTTCCGCAGCTTTTCAAAATCAAGATATCTAGCTCAGTCCCGCCGGCGTGCATATATAAAACCCGTGGAATATCACGCTATACATCGTATAAGCCCTAGTCTCAGTAGGCATGCAGTTCGTCTCCGGTAGGAACCTCCTCTCCACATAAGATACATTATGCACAGCGTCTTCAGTCAGGGCTAAAGTCAAGGGACATTTCCGATGACGGAATTCCTCCAGCGAATGGTAGAAGGTAACGTTACTAGCGCTGAGTGAGTTTGTAGAATATCTTGCGAGCGAATTCCTGTAAGCATGACTTCCCATCTGTCTCCAACAATAACCCTTCCGTATAACCTTGACTCCTCCTTTTTCCAAAACATCTCTACGCTATCATACTCCATCATAACAATGACTTTAAAAGTTCATCATCTCCAAGTCTCTCAATCTGAGAGGATAGTCTGGCTCGCCGAAGAGCTGGGCATTGACTACGAGTTGGTGATTCACAAGCGCGATCCATTCCTCAGTCCTCAGTCTATCAAGGATATCAACCCCATCGGGCAGGCGCCCGTGATCCAAGACGGATCTCTTACTCTTGGGGAAAGCGGTGCTATTACCGAGTACATAATACATAAATATGGCAATGGTAGACTGGCCTTAGGCCCTGACCATAAAGACTGGGCGCAGTATCTCTACTGGTTCCATTTCGCCAACGGCAACCTACACCCTCAGATGAGCCGCGTGATGGTGTTGAAGCACTGTCACGTTGACGAGAGCGAACCTCACGCTCAGCGCCATTTTTCGCAACTGGAGAAGTTTCTCAGGTTCTTTGACAGCCATGTCAAAGACAATGAGTGGCTGGCTGGTACGGAATTTACAGCCGCTGACATCATGAACGTCTTTCCACTCACGACCATGAGAACTTTCTTCCCGTACGACCTCTCAGAGTACCCCAATATTCTGAATTATCTCAAGCGCGCTACCGAGCGCGAAGGGTATAAGAGGGCCAGGGCAAAGGGCGATTCTGAGTTACCCCTCATGATCGACGGCAAGCCACCAGCACAGTTCTTCGATAAGCTCAAGGCAGAGGGCAAGATTTAGAGCGCTTAAACGCACATGAAAGCCCAACTAGGTAGTTTAAGGGTCGATTTCATGCGACTTGGAAAGGGGCCTACGATCAATGGAAATTTCAAAGTTCATGGTCATCATCTAGTGAATCAGCCATTTGGTGGCTAGGATCTGGAGAATATTACACAACTAGCATGTCTTCGTCAACTAACTAGCTGTCAAGTAAAAGAAATTATAAAAAGAAACTACGTTAAACGATTTAGTTAATAACTTCCAGAAGAAGTTTTACTTTTATTTCACATTTCTTTTTCTAGAAAACGTACCCAAATATCAAATGACTTGATTATAAGCGTAAGCAAAACTCCAAGCTATCAAGTAGGAGAGTTTCCCATAATCCCCTAGCTTAATTTTGATAGGTACTCGAAGAGCTGTAGCTGAGCGACATGTATTATTCGTTTAAGCTGGCTGCTCGATTATTTACGTCGGCGGGGAATTATATCTTCACTATTGTACCTGGATCATCTGAACTTACTATGACCCGCGATATCGCAAAACTTCCTACGGAAAGGTATGTTAGCTCCGTAGTACCAAATGAGGGCATGTGACAACTGCTCGTATAAGCCCCATACATAATCGTAAAATAGAACCAAAGGAGACGGCCCTCAATCAACTCTCCCCCTGCTGGCAGCGAGTGGGTCAGTGGATTGAAAATTCCCTGATACGATTCAGTATGTACTTCGTAGGATGCATAGTAGGTCGATACGAATATCTGCAGTATCTGGGCACCTAGGTAAGGTAGTCAATATAACCGCCACCGCTAACGAAATGCCGTCCGTACGTGGATAGCAGAGTGGACCTTGAGGGAAGAGATAATGTATGTAACTTAGATATATTACGGACCTAGTCGCCGCATATGCTCGTAAAAGTACAAGACAGCAACGAGTATGTGTAAGGGTTCAAAGGGGCCGAGTATGAGTTACATCACCCAGGTAAATTTCGCGTGATACCACGGCAGCACTTTATGCGGATCGTAAGAATTGCCTTGCGTTAATCCTTGATGCGGATCAATTCCATGGGAGGCGACGATATGAAAACTCAGATGGCCTTTGCTAATTCAGCAGGCGAATAACGTGCTGCAATCCAGTCACTCTCATTCAATATCTATCTCAAGGTGGATTCACTGGCTGGTAGTGCGGCGTATGTCAGCGATGTCAGCAGGTTACCTGTTGTGGAAATGGCCCCGATTCGTTTCCCTGACCTTAACCCCTGTATTGTACGATACATAATGTTACCCCTCCGGGGGCGTAAGCTGGTAACACATCACCCCTGAAAACATGAGGTAGGCTGGTAGGCAGTTAGTCGAAGGAACCGGGAGGGGGTATGCATTACTCTTCGTCGAAATCAGTGACTCTCTCAGCCCGAATGAAGCTACTGGCTATTGCCGCACCCGCCATTAATAGCGCCATCGTCACAAACGGCAGACCCATCCAGCCCCATCCTAGTTCTAGACCTGTCACCAACAACGCACTCAATACTGGTCCTATCACGCTCCGGACTACGATACTCAGCATATGCGCTGCACTGTAGACTGCGCTCACCTGGCTGGGCCGCACCGCTCCACCTAGCAAACTCATCAGTAGCCCCGTAGAACAGCTGCCAACTGCCACAAACAGAAGGCCGAGGGCCTCGATAACCAAAGCCGGTGCAACACCTATAACCATCAAGCCCAATGCCGTTGCGGCAATAGACACGATGGCATATAGGCGATCGCGCGCCCAAGCAGACCAGCCCCGTTTATCAGCGATTAGACGCGTGATCAATGGGAGGATAGTGAGAACGAATAGGCCTTGTGCACCTTGAAAGAGTGATAGGAGTACGTTGCCACGAGCGTATGAGAGGGAGAATTTAGCGTTAGTGTACTGCAAGCCTATGAGAGTAAAAAGCTCTCGAGCTCCAGTCTGAGGGGAGAAGATCAGAAGGAGTAGCAGAGCTTGTCGGTTCGATGCTAGCACACTAAGTAAAGGACTTAGTATGTTAGATGCTTCTCCAACGATGGAATTGGATACTTTCGTAGGTGTCGGTGATTCAGAACGCAGCGAGTCCGCGATTTGCGGTAGTGTAGAGTCAGATAGTAGCGCAGAGTGCTCAGTAGACCTCTTCCTTAAGTTCAGTGTCTCCGGAATAAATATCGTAAGTAAGAACGCGCCAGAAAAAAGCGTGCCCGCGGCGAGTAGCAAAACAGCCCAGGTATGTCCTTTTTCCATCAACGGACCACTGATGGCGGGCCCGAAAAAGCCCGAAATCACGTCGGCAGCGTGAAGATACAAGAAAATCTGAGCGCGTTCATCATCATCGGCAGTATCAGTAACCATGACATGCAAAATGGTGGAAATAACGGCATCTCCACCGCCGAGAAATAGAAAGGCACCCGACAGTAGAGCCCAGCGGATAGAAGCAAACCGCCAATAACACACAGCTAGTACCCAAGAAAGCGCGGAAAAAACACCAGCACCGCTCATGATGAGCACGCGCTTACGACCAATACGCTCGGCAAGCAGTCCATAAGGTACGGTGCACAGCAGCGACGGGAAGATGGGAACCAGCTGCTGAAAGCCGCGAACGAGGGCAAGTTCCTTCTGTATAGGCTGCGCCTTGCAAGGATTGGGTAATGTACCATTAGAGGCCGGAGGTAGCGAGTTTGTCTTGTAGTAGTCATCACAAATGACATTTTCGAAGACTTGAACCAGCGCGGCTGGCTGTAAATTATCTCCAAGCATCATGGTAAAGGCAAAAGCGCATAGGAGGACGATGATGCGCTGCTTATGCCTTATAGGCACAGAGTGCAGTGGTTCTAAGGGGGTAGGCACATCCCCAACGACCTCAACGCCATTCTGGAGTAGGGGAGAAGACTCGTCCACATGGCGGGATTCATCATGATCGTTGGTAGTATCTGCGGAGGTCATCATGGCAGTTCATACAACCTCACGATCAACAAAAAAACACCAAGCCCTACAGACGGTAGCATACAAAGAGGAAGAAAGTGACGGTGCGAGGTGAGGTGAGGTTCAAAAAGCGGTCACAACGAGTGTAATTTCTGACTTGGTGCCTTGAGTTACAACCACTTCCAATCCGAGTTGCTTTAATCCGTATTACGTACAAATCGGTATTATTGGTGTTATTGGTGTTAAAAGCACGGTCCAATTTTAAGCTTATTGTAAAATGTCACACAAGCATGCAGATCACTTAATTCATGTGATTCTTTACTTTCTTATACAGCTTAAGTACATAAACATGCTTATCACGGTATACATCATTGCCATATAATTCAAATATATTCAAAACAAAAATGCCCGGGCAGCCAGGATGATATATGTGTTTAATTCTACACCAACTATGTCAGACCAATAAATAGACAGTCGTATTATACAAGAGTGATGACTCCTGTCAAATCGTTCATAGCTCCATCAATCCACCAAGCCTTCCACTCATCTGAGAAATCCCTTGTATCATGATCTCCGCAGTAACACTGTAAGATGCCAACTCGTCGAAACTTTTTACCTTCCACGTGCTCTAACATGAGCGCATAAAGGGTTCTACCTATTTCCACTTTACATATCGGCATACAAGTGCCTTCAATCACTCCTGCTTCTGCGAATTTTTCTACCTGATCTGACATGTCGAAGAATGTGTATTCGAACTCGAATCTGCCGTAGCAATCTGTCATATATTCGTCAACGTATAACCTGCCAGGCCACCAAGAATCATTCCTATATCGAAAATAGGATAGTTTACATTTAATATCGAGCTCTGCGGATCGAAGGAGACCAGTAGTGTCCCCACCAGGAGGCTCTGCGACGATCCTTTCGTCAGTCACTTGTATTAATGGTTTCACCTCTTTCCTGTAAATATCACATAGTTCGACCCCACTACCCGTCCCTACAGCCGCCACCGAAGCCCAACTCCAGGACGGAGCATAGGATTCATTGCGTCGAATTCGGGTTCCTCTGTTAGCCGTACTTTTCCACAAAAGACCATAGTGTAGTGACTGCTTCCACAGGCCAGCTAAATATGTATCGCCGGTGGCGACTCGAAAAGCTTTGACAATACCGGACATGGCGATGAGTTTGTCTGAATCTTTTGTGAGATTACAAGTCATGTATGTCGAGAGAATAGTAAGCCAGAAGAAAGGACTTATTCCTCCGCCAGAGTACAGCTCCGTCCGACCTCTCCGAGCTTGAAGATTTGCTTTCTCCTTTATGATCTCTCTTCTCGAAGCTTTATATCCGTATCCTCGCTTTCGCTGGATATAGTCTTCATCTTTGACCTTTCTGGAATTTACTAACCCGATCATAATATCAGCCTCACAATGGGTGCATCCCAAGCACTCCCAATAAATTTGATTTCGTGTGAAGTGAATGATTCGAGTAGATAAGAACCGCTCCTGCACAACCCAGCCTCGTGTATGAAGAGCCGCGCTTTCGATCTCGTCGATCCAGATTGAGTCGTTCCAGGCTATCCATGGGCCATAGTCGAGTTCCGATGGGCTACGTACCCGAATGCCAATATTAGTTTTGAATGGATACAAAAACCTCGCATTGTCCATTCTTTGACGAAATAGGCCGCCGAGTGATGGGTCAATCGATGGGGAAATTGCCGATATATTACAAAATGAGTTGCGATAAACATCAGCCATTATATCGGCTTCTCTTTGCCAATCAACCTCTGAGTCTTGAAATATGCATAGCGAGTCTATCCAGAGATATCTATAGCCTAAGCGATGGACAAAAAGAGTCGCGTCGCGAAAGGTTGGCGATAGCTCGTCGAGTGGTATGCCAGCGCGAAGTTGGTGTTCCGTTTCCTTACAGAGCTGATTAATTTTACTCGGGTCTCCCCAACGATGAGAAAGAGTCCAATATGCAGGATACACGTGTTCTAGGGTAGAGGTTGGCGTATGGCAGCACAAGTCTTCCTCTCCAGTATCACGTTGGACCATCGCTTCGTCTCTACTCCTCAAGAAGACATAACCACAGCACGCCTTTTGGACATCGAGGATTCGAGTGGGAAAGAAAGCACCAGCTTCCGTGGGCGATCTGCAGAGGTCTTCATGACTTTTCTCACATGATGAAATCCAGCTTTGGACACTTTCCAAGGATTGAGGAGACCCTATATAAGGGTCGAGCTTTGCCCATGGCCGGGCCATCATATCATGATATTTGTCTCGCTGCTCTTTTCTAGTAGAAAGGCGTACTATGTTACTGAGCGCCTAAAGCCAGAGATGGTTCGTGATTTGTGGAATAGGTATTACGTACCAGTAAGTATATAATTAACAGCCCATGAACATGAAATATTAAAGGTTATGCGACACTCATAACCTTGCCAAAATGATTCATTGCAAATTATTTCGCAGATAATTGTAAACTGTTCATCGGGATCGCCTGTGACTCCCCCTTCATCTCTCGGGGGCGGGTGCCTTGACCAGATCCATGTACAGATGAAGCAGCCGACATCTTTACTCATCACTAAATCAGAGTATTTCCGGTGATGCGCGATTTTATTGCTGGTCCCCCTTTCATTGAATATATGGAAACTTGATTTGCAAATGGCACATAATGACCCTTCAGGGTCTTCCATAATGGCATGTGTAGTAAAGAGCAGACTTTAAATACCGTCGTATGGTTTAGGTCTGTTTCGAAGATTACCTAGTTATTTTATAATACGAACGGTATCATACTGGTCGGACTAGATGAGAACGCGAGGCTTCAAAGGGCGTATGCAATAATTATGTCCTTGTCACACGGACAACGTGGCTGAGACTTGTTGGTTAGAATATGAATGCAGCCTAGAGCCAGTAAGGCGGTTAGGATAACTATTTTCAGAACTATTGGATGAGACGCATTATAAGACGATGCAGGCAGAATGCAAGATAGCCAATACACAATTGAGGGGGCGACTAGATACGGAGATACATCTCTTAGAATTGACTACAAATAGGTCGTGATATCCTCAGACTGAGATAGAGAGATTATTAAGGACCTTGAGACCTTAGAAAATTATTAGTAATATGAATTCGTTCCAAGCCCTTACAGACCTTGTTACAGTCCTGAACTCCGTGCCGTTTTACTTGACGCTGCCGTACAGCCCCAAAAGCTTTTAATGACATAAATGTACTTGAATTGGCACTTCCAATAACTATAGCATTTAATGATACGCCGTTACGATTCGAACTACTTATTACACCTTATATAATCACAAGCTACATTCATGACCATTGAAAATATTGCTCTGAAAAGCTTAGCATTTTCTAATCAACGCTAGTCACCCTTTACAGAAGCTCAGGATTCGTATGGTTAACGTTCTAAAAGAATGACCTTTGGCAATTAGGGGATAGTGTTTTTATACACCGTTACTTGATTGGGAGAAAGGGGAAAGGGCGTTGAGTTATTAGTTGAAATATTTGTGACTAATCGTAGTAGACATTTAAATACCTATTGAAGTATTGTCATAAAGTAGGTAAATGTTTATAATTGTATAAATTGTTTAATTAAAGAGTAAAGATATATATATATTTAAGGTGTAAAATTTTAATGTATAAGTGGAAATATAAGAAATTATAAGTATTTAAGTTATTTTTAAATTATATAAGGTTAATTAATTTAATATACTTTTTTAAATAAAGTTATTAAATAAATTTAATTAAAATAATCTTAAATAATTTTTTTAATTTAATTTTATAAGTTTAATATTTTAAGGCGATTTTTTTTTAATTAAGTTTTTTTATTTATTTAAAATATTTCGTTTTTTTTAAATTTCTTTATTTAAAGCTTTAATTATTTTTTTATTTAATAATTTTTTAATATTTATTAAATTAATTTAATTTTAAAATTTTTTAAATTTATTTTTATTTAATATTTTAATTA